TGCGTACGATGATCGCGGTTAATCGGCGATCTCAACCGGCGAATAATTTTTATGCCCGCGGCTCCGAGGATGGTTCTATTTGACCCCGAGTCGATCAGAGCGCGTAAGGTTTCGCCCCCCAGCGAGATCTCGCAGTACGGGAGCTGCGACAGCGTTCGAGCGTCGTCGCCGAGTGAGCTGGACGACAAGCTAGAGGCCTCGCTCGTGGCTTCCGCGCGGGCCTTTTCTAAGTATTCCGGGATCACCGGGGCCCGCCCTAGTGATTCCCGCTTTCGTTTCCCGCACATGCCGGGCACGTTCGGACGGTAACGTTTGTTTTCCCGCAACGATAGCAATATACGCGGCGCGGCTCAGCGCATTCGCGTGCGATATGGCCGGCCTTGTCGCAGTTCCAGCATTTGCCGGATGATTTCGCAGAATTCGCGTGACTCGAGGACGCGACGTTACTCGTGGAGGCGGCAGCCTCACTATTCTGTCGTGCGGAATTAGATTGCGCCTTCGTCGCGCGAGCGGCCTCTTTTCGCGCGCGTCTCTCGGCACGCTTCTTTCCTGGGAGGTTATCCGTCAATCCGATAGCCGCGACCGCGGGAGTTTTCTTAGAACTCTTCGGCGGTGCCCGATACGCGAGATCCGGGAATATCATCTGTTCCGGCGGCGGAGGCGCACGATATCGACTAGCGGCTTCGTACCCCTGCTCCACTCGCGTAGCCTGACTCTCCAGTGAAGCAAAATCGTAAAAGTCGCGGCGCTGAACTACGATTTGCAACCGCGGCAACATATTCCGGTGAGCCTGGTTAAGCTGTTCTTCCAGACTCCACGGCGGACTCAGTCTCTCAAACATCGCGCGAATACAAGTAAGAAAATCGGCAATCGACTCGTATTCCCCCTGCGTGCGTCTCTGTATGTCTTCGCGTAACGCGAACTGAAAGTCCGGACTACCGAACCGCGCACGCCACGACGTTTCAAATTCCTTCCAAGTCCGCCACCGTCCGCGCTCGTTCCGATACCAATATAAAGCCGTGCCGTTCAAAAAGAAAGGGATACACTTGAATACGTCGGCATCGGTGGCCGTGAATAGGGCGCGACCCTCCTCGATACGCAATAGGAAGGCTTCCGCGTCGCAACCTCGAGCGCCGGAGAATTTAAGGTTCCACCGACGCATCATCTGATATACGTCGGTCGCGGAATCGGTACGACGCGCGGGCGCACGAATTTCCGGTTCGCGTCTCGGCAGCTGTAGTAACGGAGGCTGCAAGAGATGCTCCGCGAAATCCATTCCCGGGGTCCGAACTCGATCGTCCTTGATGATCGTTCCGGTACTCGATTCGCCCGATGCGCGATCGTCCCCGCTATCCTCGCCTTCCGTTTCCGGAGTCGGCGGCGGCCTCCACCCTAATTGCTCGCAGCGAACGGCTTTGGTCAGCCGCGCACGCAAGACGGGTAATATTCCTTCCGTTTTCAATCCGCGGCATTCTAATTCTTCGCGCAATTGTTCTAACGATAATTCGTGGAGTCGCGCGACTCGTTGTTCGGCGTCGGAATCCATTTCAAGGATCGTTGTTCGTTCGGCCGTGGACGCGCTAATTGCCGGTCCTCGCGAATCAATCTACCGAGGCGTCGTATTATCGGACCGAAGACCGATCAGAGAACATACCCAACAAAAATTATTTTCCGCCAAACAAGGGAAGAGAAAAAAAAACTTTTCCGAGAACGGACACTCCAGCTAATACCCTGAAATAAATATTTGCTTCACGGCTGTGAACTTCAGAACGTAAACATTCGGCGGCAATAATAAACGGATTAGTCGTCGAGAAGCGATGAGCACGGCGGAGGACAATAGGGCCACGTCAATATAACGCGCGGTGTCACGACCTATCGAGAAAATAACAAGTATACACAACAGCGTCACGCTATGATATGCTAACGCGAGCGAATTCTCGAACAGCCTATGAGTCGCGATCGGATTCTTTCTCTTAATTAGGTTTAATTCCCTAGCCCCAATCAGTGCTGTAATTTCATGGATCGTTTCCGCACAATACAACGTGTCAATCGTAAACACTATATAATAGCAATTATCGCTGAAAGAAACGGATTATCGCACATTATAAGAAACACATTTTATGATAATAAAGCATTTATAAATAATGAGCACATCTTATATATGTTCGGCAGCAGACACCTCTCTCTTTATTTCATATGCTTCTATTTAATTTTATATAAATGGTAGATATTTATTCGATCCGTACTTGATTACTTGATAAAAGATTATTATGATCTCAAAAGTTTATATTAATGGAAACTTCTTTGCTGTTACAAGGGGAGCAGCAACAGGATAGAAAAAAAAATTTAACCATAAGAGACGACAACTGATTGAACTCTCTCTTGGAAATACGAGAAAAGAGAGAGGGAAAAAAAAAAGTATATATATAATTTTAAAGTTATCAGTAATAATTTTTCATCATACGCTAATAAATTTTGTAAATAAGTTATAAAATTTTCATTGAGAGAGTGTGCGCCGGATTACAATTTCAAACATACAAGAAAAATTTTCAATTGATACATAATTCCGTCAAGTACATGTTCAGCCGAAGAAGAAAAAAAAATGTTTGTTCTCGTAATGTTAGTTTTCCCCCAATAGTTCCCGATAAGTAAAGGGAGAAAGCGAGAGAGAAAAAAAAACTTCTCTCCTTCAAATTAGCTCGTCGCGACAGATATCTTCAATTTTCCACGAAAGTTATTTTTTTCGCGAAAAGAAAAAAAAAGAAAAATTTTTTTCTCAGTCTTACGTGATGTCGTTAACGTCAACGCAAAAAAAAAATTAATTTTTCGATACTTATTTTACTCATAATAATTTTACAGAACTTTATCTTCCCAAAAATCTCCCAACAAAATTTTCCAACATTTATTAATTTTTGACGAGCCAATTTCCTATCTCCCCTTAATTACACACAAAAAAAAAAAGAAAACTTTAATCCTCTGGTGAATTTCAGTTTCTTCGCCACGCACCGGGTCTTCAGGCCTCGACGTTGGGCGCCAATTTATAACCGTATCGCGCGGAATTCGCAGCGAATATCCATTCGTCGCGGAAGGAGAAAAGTCTCCTGCGGAATATCGGTTACCTTCGGCGCGATCTCTCCGTTCGATCACAAAAAAAAATTTGCAACAAACAAAAAAAAATAATAAAGAGAAAACTAAAATCTCAATTTAGTTGGGCGCCAGGTGCGGCAGCCGCACCGTCTCTCAATTAATAAATTCGCGGGACGCTAAGTCTTAATTTCCTCGGACCTCTTGTCCTAGCCCTTTCGCGGGCGTCAATCACGGGAGAGAGAGAGATCGCGACGGCAACTTTCCCGCTCGGCTAGCCTCTGTGCGGGTAAGGGTTCGGGTGCGTGGCGGCAAGAAATCACCCTAGGAATTAAAGTTAGTAAAACATATATTTAACTTTGGTTCACAAGACACATGAGTATATAATATAAAGAAATAAGCGGCGTGCACAGACGCACGATTGAGAGTTCGGTGGGGCACTACGCCCGGTGGTTCGCCGTGCCGAGTTATGAATAATCTTTAACAAATTCGCGGCAACAAAGTAGGGTCCCCAATAACGAAAAGACGATTAATTAAATCGGCGACGCGCCACCGGGTATATGGCTCCACGCCGCGGGCGCGTGATCCGCGCGGTATGCGCGACAACAAAGGGGCCGGCGTAAGGGCGCACCGCGTGCGCCGTACATAAATTCCACACACAAAATCAAACGTAATCACGCCTTTTCGTTTAAGCCTTTACAACCTCAATACTTTACAACATTAATACTTTACATTATCAATACTTTAATGAGCCTGAAAGCGTTTATGAGCTCTTTGATTTTCGCTTCGAACAATAATCGGCAACGCGTAAATCGCGGTAATTTTCGCGCGACAATGTTACGCGCGAAGACTGTCCACGCGGGAGAGAGAATACGCGAAAACGCAAGAGAGTGGATGGGTCATAGTTTCTCCCAATGGAGTTTCGTTACGTTAATACCGTGACTCGACGATAAAACGAATCTCTCGTAATTTTATAACTGGCCGGCAACTAAGTCCGGCATACTCTCTTAACGATAAGTAATTCGGGACCCATCCACTCGGCTACCTTAATTCGGCGACAGCAGGATGACCACGTCGTCTCACCAGTCCTATAACGATCCTTATCGTCCTCTCCTCTTTCGCTCTCCCTAAGTTGCGCTTCCGTCTCGGGACCTCCGCTCTCTTCGGGCGCTCGCTAGACAGTGCCGAACCGGGGGCCCTCAGGAGACACGTCGGTGACCCAATTATGTAGATAGGCCACTCGCGGCGCTATCAGGTCGGCCGCGCGCGCGGCCTCGGTGATCCTTGCGGCCGCGCGCGTAATTATCCTTACCCGCGGAGTCCTGATCCGCGGGTTGCCCTTCGTAGGCGGTCGTCGCGGCAGCGCACGGCAGGGCCGCTCCTGGCTCTCCTTCGGGATTCCGGAAGTCCCGGGGGCGGCAGCTCTCCTGCCGGCGCTCCGTATGCGGGGACTCGGGTGCTTGTTGCACCCGAGTGGCCATCCCCTGTTCGCCCCTGGAAGGTACAAATTTTCAGGCAGTGGCACCTACTCCGTTGTCGGATATTTGGTGAAGAAAATTTTAACTTTGGGCTTACCGGGCATGTCCCTGACGAAGGGGGTCCCCGTCGTCCTGCTTCCTATGCCTTCCCTTTTCTCCTCCAGGTTTTCTCTATCGGCTGAGACTCGTCGCACATCCTGTCTGCCGCCGAAATAATCCTAACTCTCAACAAAACAACAAAAAAAATATATGGAAACGCGTAGCAGCGGGTTCGCGTCCGATCCCGCGCTTTTCGCACGCACGCTCTCTCTCTCTCTCTCACTGTCTCGGGAGAGCAGAGGTCCCGTGCCCTCCCCCGATCGGGCCATTCAGCCCTTGTGACGGACAATTTCAATTTGTCACGTCACAATAGTATATATATTATATGTATTTTTTTAGAATAACATAAGTAGTGAAGCCGTTATAATTAATGAACTGAATCATTATGATGAACAAGACAGAACGGATGAAATGTTAACAAGGCAAAGAGAAATGGAAGAATTTAGAGAAGGTAAATAAAAATTAATAATAATAATTAATTTAAAATTTTTTAAATTTCTTTTAGTAAATATTTTGATTGCATATTTTTTAAATTATATCTATATAAATCTACATTATACATATAGATATCTAATTAAATTTTTAAAATTTCAGTGCTTGAAGATGGGCTTGATGAAATTTTATTGCAAGCACTACTTGAATTTGAAAATCAGGAGATAAAGAAAAAAGAATTGAAAGAAGAAGGGAAAAAAGATAAGAAACGAAAAGATATAAGTGATGGTGAAAAGAAGAATAAGAAAAATAAAAAAAATAAAATTTTATATGTAAAAATATGAATTCATAATGATTCATTTCATTGATTTTTTTTTATAATAATTTTTAATGTATGATTTAATATGTAATTTTTTATTAAAATTATACGTAATATGTATTTACTATATATCTATTTAATAAAAATATATCTCTATATATATTAATTTACAGATATTTATCTAAAAAAGTAAAGTATGAGAGTGAGAAAGAGAGGGAGAGAGAGACAGAGAGAGAGAGAGAGAGTGAGAGAGAGAGTGAGTAAGTGAGTGAGTGAAAGAGAGAGGGGGAGAGGAAGAGGGAGGGAGGGAGAGAGAGAGGGGGAGAGAGAGAGGGAGAGAGAGAGGAGAGGGGAGAGGGAGAGAGAGAGAGGAGAGAGAGAGAGAGAGAGAGAGAGAGAGAGAGAGAGAGAGAGAGAGAGAGCGTGTGCGTGCGTGTGTGTATTTCTTAAAAAAAAGATACATAAAAATTATTAATTTATTTCAGGTATATTTTATATATTTTTTTAAAATAACCTAAGTAGCGCGAAGAACTTTTTGAGAAAATAATTTATTTAAGACAAATAGATTCAACAGTAATTGTCTGCTGCTTTGAACAAGATAACACAGATTTACATATTTATATAGTTAATAATGGTATTTCCGTGTCCGCGACCACGTCCGCGTCCACGGCCACGTCCGCGTACACGGCCACGTCCTGCTCTTGCCCATCGAGCTTTAGTTTTTACTGTAAAAAGAATATACATAGATTTCTGGTATTATAAAAGAATTAATCCATAAATGTGAAAGTAGGTCACGGTTATATAGATAAATAAAAATATATAGATCGAAAAAAATATTTATAAATATGGATACTTACGTCGCAATCCATCTTTTTCCATTTCTTTTGACACTGCAGGCTGTGGATTATCAGTAGCCACCTCAGGTTGCACATTTTCAACAGCCACCTCAGGTTGTGGATTATTAGTAGTGGCTGTTTGTAGTGGCTGTTTGGCCAAAGCAGCGGTCAGTTGCCGTTTTAACTCCCGTAGTACCTCCGTGTTTAATAGATTATTTTCGGAATTAAAATCTTCGCTACCTTCATTCTAAAAATAGATAAATTAATAGAATAATAATTTTCTTTCTCTCTCTTTCTCTTTAACACACACAAACACACATGTCTCTCTCTCTCTCTCTCTCTCTCTCTCTCTCTCTCTCTCTCTCTCCCCCTCCCCCTCCCCCTCTTTCTTTAAGACACACACGCTCTCTCTCTCTCTCTTTCTTTAAGACACACACGCTCTCTCTCTCTCTCTCTCTCTCTCTCTCTCTCTCTCTCTCTCTCTCCCCTCTCCTTTCTCTCTCTTCTCTCTCCTTCTCTCTCTCTCTCTCTTTCTTTAAGACACACGCTCTCTCTTTCTCTCTCTCTCTCCTTCTCTCTCTCTCTCTCTCTCTCTCTCCTCTTTAAGACACACGCTCTATCTCTCTCTCTCCTTCCCTCTTTATTTAAGACACGCTTTCTCTCTCTCTCTCTCTCTCTCTCTCTCTCTCTTTCTTTCTCTCTCACTCTCCCTTTCTCTCTCTCTCTATCTCTCTGTCTAAAATTAAAATCTACTTACATTATGCTGATTTGAACTGGATGCATTTTCCTTGCTCTCTTTAGACATCTTGGTTAAACTGTATTATGTGTCACATTGATTTTAAAAAAGTTGAAGGAAATGTATGTATGAAATAAGAATATTGAATTTAAATGTTACTATGGTCAAGGCATACAAATTAAAGGTTTATTTACACGAATTGCACACATAATCACAAATACGTACACAATTTTTTTCAAAATTACTTATTGGTGTGATTTTGTAAAAATCACTCTTTAGGAGTAAGTTTCGATTTTTTAACGTGAGTCATTTAATAAATGATTATATAAGTTGCTGGTTTCATATTCAATTACGTTAAATGTCATAATGGATAGATCAAATAAAATAGAAAATATTATAATAAATGAAATTAGTACAACAAAAAAGGAGTCGAAGGCGTAAAACTTTACGAGAAAGGAGTGATAAACGAAGTTAAAACGTTGAAGAGGAAGAGTGAAGGGAGAGAGAGAGAGAAAGAGAGAAAGAGAGAGAGGGAAAGAGAAAGAGACGGTAGATATTTTACATTTTTATAACTATAGGTATTTGTAATAAATAGGTATTTGTAATAAATTTAAATATTTGTAAATATTTTATACTTAATAATTACACTTTTATTACATTTTTCTTATATATATAAAAAATAATTATTTCGTAGATATTCTAAATTCAATTATATAAAAATATATAAAATTATATAAAAATTATATAAAAAAATATATATATAAATAGAAAAATATATAAAATTATATAAAAAGGCTGCTGTGCGCCTGTAAAAAAGGCTGCTGCGCGCCTGTAAAAAAAGGCTGCTGTGCGCCTGTAAAAAAGGCTGCTGCGCGCCTGTAAAAAAAGGCTGCTGTGCGCCTGTAAAAAAAGGCTGCTGTGCGCCTGTAAAAAAAGGCTGCTGTGCGCCTGTAAAAAAGGCTGCTGTGCGCCTGTAAAAAAAGGCTGCTGTGCGCCTGTAAAAAAAGGCTGCGGTGCGCCTGTAAAAAAGGCTGCTGTGCGCCTATAAAAAAGGCTGCTGTGCGCCTGTAAAAAAAGGCTGCGGTGTGCCTATATAAAAAGATTGCTGTGTACTTATACAAAGAATTAATATAAAACAGAATAAGCACGAAAAAGAAAAATTTCATCAAGAAAATCGATGAATTAATGAATAAATAATTTTTGGTCATACAGACAGATATAGATAGATAATATAAATATAATTATTACGGCAATATATTTATAATATACCTACGTATACGCCGTATACGGTACGACGCAGATAAGTATGCCTCAAAAGAGAAAAGGCGGAAATTTATATAAAATCAGTCGCAAAAGCAAGCGCTTACGACAATTACGAAAAATTGAGAGTTCGGAGGAAAGATCTCAACGACTCGAAGCTGATGCCCAAAGACATGCTCAGCAGAGGGCTCATGAAAATAATGACACAAGGTCTCAACGACTCGAAGTTGATGCCCAAAGACATGCTCAGCAGAGGGTTCATGAAAATAATGACGCAAGGTCTCAACGACTCGAAGCTGATGCCCAAAGACATGCTCAGCAGAGGGTTCATGAAAATAATGACGCAAGGTCTCAACGACTTGAAGCTGATGCTCAGAGACATGCTCAGGGAAGGCAACAAGCTAGACAATTAAATCATCATATTGCGCTAATTGCCAAGGACAATGAAATAAATGTGTCAGTTCATACACTTGGCCAAATGAATATAGAATGCCAATTTTGCAAATCGTTAAATTTTGAATGTGAAAAACCTAAAGATGGGAAATTTACATATTGTTGTCAAAAGGGTAAGCTTACATTAAAGTCAATAAATTGTCCTGATTTTATTAAAAAATTATACATGGGAAATGATTATGCATCGAAAAATTTCCTAAATAATATTCGTTCATATAATAGCGCTTTAGCTATGGCTTCTATGGGTGCCCCGGGCAATAGAAATCCATTGGATGTTGTGAACAATGCTCCTTATTGCTTGAAGATTCATGGGCAATATCATCATTTGACTTCGACAGCAATGCGCCCAGCGGATGGGCAAGCTCCGCGCTTTGCGCAGCTTTACTTTTTAGATACAGAAGAAGCTGTAAATCATAGAATGAATAAGAAAGCTAATCAAGAGTGTGATTTTGAAATAATGAAAAATTTGTCAAGTTTTATGGTTCAATGCAATGAATTTGCAAAGACTTTCAAGATGATGCGTCAAGTTGAACAAGACCTTAATCCAATAGGCAATAAAAATATAAATTTAATGTTGTCCTTTCGAAACGATCCTCAACATGATCAAAGAAAATATAATGCTCCACAAGCTAATGAAATAGCTGTGGTCTTTCAGAATGTAGATGGTGAGCCTCCATTTGAAAGAGACATTCGGATTTATAATAAAAATTCAAACGATGTTCAACAAATATCAATTCTGGACAAAAGTGTGACCCAATGTGTTATCCTTTGTTATATCCATATGGTAACGATGGATGGCATTCAGAAATGAAATCTTATAATTCTAAATATTCAGGATTTAAAGTAACTCAAATGGATTATTATGCTCATCTGCTGGCACCAAGAGCCGAATTTAGCCAATTTAAAAGAGCAGGCAAATTGAGATGTCAATTTATACTTGATGCCTATATGAAAACTGAAGCCAATAGACTTAATTATATTAAATTAAATCAACCTCAATTAAGAGCAGAACTTTATTCAGGATTAATGGATCACCTTGATAATCGAGCACAAAATGAGGGAATTACAGTTGGTGTACCTGTAATATTACCATCTTCATTTATGGGCAGTCCAAGGAACATGCAAGAAAGATACCAAGATGCGATGTCTTTGGTAAGAAAGTATGGTAAACCAGACATTTTTCTAACCATGACTTGCAATCCTCAATGTCCTGAAATTAAGGATAATCTTGATGGATGTCAAATAGAGTTTCGACCTGATTTAGTCGCTAAAACATTTAATTTGGATGTCAAAGAGATTTTAAAGGATTTAATTCAAAATAAAATTTTTGGAAATATTATAGCTTATGCAGGTGTGATTGAATTTCAAAAAAGAGGACTTCCACATTTGCATTTACTTGCAATGTTGAGCGATGAAGATAAGCCCCGACTTCAAGAAGTCATTGATATGATGGTATGGGCTGAAATTCCTAATGAAGAAAAATATTCAGAACTTAATGAAAAAGTTTTGAAACACATGATTCACGGTCCATGTGGAGATCCCTCGAGGAGATATCCTTGCACTGGGGACGATGGAAAATGTTCAAAAGGATTTCCAAAAGAATTTAATGATAAAACTAATGCTAATGTAAATGGATATCCCATCTATCAACGTAGGGATATTGGAATAAAATACATTGTTAGAAATAAAGAAGTGGATAATCGATGGGTGGTGCCGTATTCACCATATTTAATCATGAAATATAATCGACATATTAATTTAGAAATATGTTCATCAGTGAAGAGCGTAAAATATCTATATAAATATATTCATAAAGGATTTGATTGTGCTGCAATTGAAGTGCAAGCACGAGATGGTACAAGATTCATTAGAATAGATGAGGTTAACTCATTCATGGATGCAAGATATGTTAGTGCTCCAGAAGCAATGTGGAGACTTAATGGATATGATCTGTTCATGAAATCTCATACAGTAATAAGATTGGCAGTTCATTTGCCTGATCGCCAAATGGTTTATTTTCGAGCAGGAAATGAAGAACAAGCTGCTCAAAGAGAGCTAAATCGAGATACTACGCTGACTGCATGGTTCAAATTAAATCAATATGATGAAAATGCAGCAAATTATCTTTATACAGATATTCCTTATCATTATGTTTATAATAAAAAAGAAACTAAGTGGAAGCCACGTAAAAAAGGTGGTGAAAAAATAATTTCAAGACTATATACAGTAAGCATAAAAGATATTGAAAGATTTTATCTCCGTCTTCTTCTACTACATGTAACTGGAGCAAAATGTTTTGAAGATTTGAGAAATGTAAATGGAATTATTTATAATACGTTTAAGGATGCAGCAATTGCAAAAAATTTAGTAGAGACTGATGATTTTTGGGGAAAAACGATGGAGGAAGCAACAGAATCGAATATGCCTGCACAACTTCGAGAATTATTTGCTTACATTTGCATCTTTGGAAATCCAATAGATGTACCAACAATTTGGAATAAATACAAAGATTTTATGATTGAGGACTTTGTAAATAATAATGTTGTAAATCCCGAAAATATGGCGTTAAACCATATACAACAAATTCTGATAAATAATGGAAGTAGTTGTGAGAAATTCCAATTACCAAATCCAACTGAAATAAATATTTACGAAACAGAGTATAATGTAGATGAAGAAAAAATACGTGGTGATTATTTATTATCTACACTAAATGATGAACAAAAATACGTGTATGATATAGTAATGCGAGCAATTGAAAATGAAAATGAACCTAAACGTTTGTTTTTTATTGACGGGTTTGCAGGAAGTGGTAAAACCTATTTATTTAACACATTTCTAAGTGTTATTCGAGGAAGAAATGAAATAATTCTTCCATGTGCTTCAACTGGAATTGCAGCCACACTTTTGAAAGGAGGAAGAACTTATCATTCTCTGTTTAAGCTTACAATTCCAATTGATGATGCAGCTAAATCAAATATTAGAGGAAATTCTCAAGCTGCACGAGAATTGATCAATGCAAAATTAATCATATGGGATGAAGTGAGCATGACTGTTGGACATGCCTTAACAGCAGTTGATAAACTTTTAAAGGATTTAATGAAGAATGATCAACCATTTGGAGGAAAAGTATTTTTATTTGCAGGAGATTTCAGACAAAATCTTCCAGTAGTACCTCATTTACACAAAACAGCGATAATTGAATCGACTGTAAAATACAACCCTATATGGAGGAATGTAATTAAGGTTAAATTACAGCAAAATATGAGAACTGCGGAAGAAAAAGAATTTGCAAATTGGTTAATGCAACTCGGAGATGGTAAATTATCAAATACAGATGGATTAAATCTAGACACGATTGAAATTCCACAAGATTTTATATCAAAAGAATCTCTTATTAATGAGATTTTTGGTGATAGAATTACCATAAAAGGATTAGAGAAAATCAAGATCGAGCGATTCTTTGTCCTAAAAATGAGGATACTTTCAAAATTAATGATGAAATTCTTTGTCTAATGGAAGGAGAAGAAAAGGAGTATCTCTCTATTGACTGTATTGTAAGTGATGATCCACAGGAGCAATTAAATTTTCCAACTGAGTTTCTAAACTCACTGACACCTTCTGGAATGCCAGTTCATCGGCTTAAAATAAAAGTTGGTGCTACAGTAATCTTATTAAGAAATTTAAATACTAAAAAAGGACTTTGTAATGGTACAAGATTTATTATAACTAATTTGAAAAATAATATAATTTATGTAGAAGTTATAACAGGTCCTGCTCGAGGACAAATTGTTATGATTCCGAGGATAGATTTAATTACAAATGATTTGGAACTGCCATTTAAGTTTAAACGAAGACAGTTTCCTATTCGAGTGTCATTTGCTATGACAATAAATAAATCACAAGGACAAAGTTTAGAAAAAATTGGAATTTATTTGCCACATCCTGTATTTGCTCATGGTCAACTTTATGTGGCATTTTCTAGAGCAACAAAAAGAGAAAGTGTAAAAATTAAAATTGATGAATGTAGCAATCAAGGACATTTAATTGAAGAAAGTGAAAAATGTTTTACAAAAAATGTAATATACAGGGAAATTTTGTAAATTGAAGAATTATGACATTGTATGAGAGCTAATAATAGCGGGTTAGCGGTGGGTACATTAGAAATAAAAAAAATTGAGTAAAATGTAAAAAAGGATATAATAATTAAGTAATAAAAAAAATATTTAAAGTATATATTAACTAAAATAATGTTTTATATTTAAAAAATATGAAATTATGTGGAAATTAAAATAAACAAGAAAATAAAAATAAAAATATATAATAAATATTTAAATATATGCAAAACGCGGTGTAAAATAAAATATCTGGGAGAAAGAAATAGATAACATAGTAGTCATCCAAAAAAAATTTAAACATTTATTTTGATATAAATTTCGTGAAAGTCGGACAACAAATGTGGAAGTAGTTCGCGGTAATACAAAAAAAGAATTAATTTTTTGTGTTAAAACGGATTTAATATAGGCTATATGAGGACCACGCGAAGCGCGGTCCGAATAGAAAGGCTTTGAGGACCGCGCGAAGCGCGGTCCGAAAAGCTAGTATATATATTAAATATATATATATATATATATTTTAATTAATTATATATATATTAAATAATATATTTTTTAATATTTTATATATAATATATATATTTTTATATATATATATAAAACGTAGATATTTGAGAATTGCCAGACAGAATTTAAAAAAGGTAAGAATCTTCTCTCGACCGTACTGGCAATATTATTTATCAATCACAACGTTTCGACTCTTCTTTGAGTCCTTATTGAGTGATCTAGACAGAGATTAATAAAATAAAAAACAAAATTACTTCACTAACAATATTACAAAATGATAAAAAAAAAGCGAAACGTACTTGTAAAAATAAAAATAAAATTATAATATTAAGATGTCAAGAACGAACATAGTGTCAACAACACGTCAAGACTCTTAGACGAGTTACTGGAGACTAAACGACCTTTATTATTTTGTCGTAGATATTACTTAGATTGTCGGTATCCTTTTGCAAATTAATAGCGTTATTATTTTTCTTAATAAAAAACATTTCAGCGATTTCTCTTTTTCTTACGTGTTTTTCACTATGCAAAATAACAGGCGAAGTCCAGTCAAAATCGTGATCGAATTCAATTTTATGTCTGCTGATAACTGATAAATTACTCAAATGCATTTTGATGTTGCTGAAATGTTCTTTTACACGTGTACATAAATGTCTAATATATATATTTCCCAATGTCTATTTGGATCAATAAGACCGTCACATAAAATAGTATAAATGAACAAATTAGTAACTAAATAAAATTGAATATATAAAGATTCATATAATAGGCATTATCGAGCCAACGCAGATAAAAAATGCGTAAACAATTATTTTTCAAATTAAATAAAAATTTTTCTTACAAAAATGTATTTAATACAATCAAAGATATAAAATTAAAGCCACAATCTCCACTTGATTCCTCTCGACCAATAGAGCCAAACGCGATGTTATTGCGACAATTATGAAAGAAAGAAAATTTGGAAAACTAAGGAATTTGAATCCTATGGTTGGGATCTCAAAAATTCCCCTTGTTCCTTCTCTTAACATCCCCTGTAAAGAAATAGGCGAGAAAAATATTGGTCCGAAATATAAAATTAAATATAAAACCGTACGTTTCGACACCTTTTTTGGGTCATCTTCAGCAGAATATCCCGAACATTAAATACAAAACACTATACTTACTAACATTAAAATTAAGAGAAATAGAAGTTATAAAACTGAAGCGATATGTCAATTAACATACCCACTAGAAAACTTAAACTATACATAAATCGTTTCCTTAAGCACAAAAATAAGCTTTTACGCCGATATATAAATTTATGGTGGTGATCATCAAATCCAGACAAGGTTGACCAATATGTTCCAAAAGATCCTTCTTTTAGACGTTGAAGGACATGAAACATTTGCTTTGTCCGAAACAGTTTCAAATAAACTGTTTTCTCCATAGAAAACACGACGTAACATCCACGATTGCCCGACTGTCAAATGAATAAAATAAATCTAACTAAATTGACAATTAACTAATTAATCTAATGAAAATCACAAATAAAAAATAAAAAATAAAAGATAAAAATTCTTTAAATAAAAACCAATTATAAAACATAAAAGAATTGAAAAAAGTAAAAATTGATATAAAAATTGAAATGTTTAAATAAAAAATAAACATTACTAAACATTGTATAGAGAAACAATTATTTGAGAAACTACCGGCATCAATTACAACAAAATTTTTTAATGATAATCGACGTAACATACACAAGCATAATAGCAGAGAGAAATCTCGTCTTATTAATAAATTCAATTATGTCAAACAGAAATTATATGGAGTTCAAAATCCAATTGAATTAATAGATTACAAAAAATGGATCGTTAATATCAGTAACAAATAAGTCCTCGATTCGGTACTGAGATTTTTGAGTTTAGGCGACAGATTTGGTTTACCTATTAATAGACAGGATAAAAATGATAGGACGTTTTCCGCGATTGAAAATTTAAAAAATTTTGAAGTTAAATATTATAAATTTCAGAAAGAAAACCTCAACAATAATAGAACATGTATCGCCAACTCAGTCTATAAGTTCTTAAATAAGCAGAAACATGTTAGTCATATTGATAAATACTTATTGAATGAATACAATAAAAGTACAAAGTTTCTCAAACAAAATAATGACATTTTTGTAACTAAAGCAGATAAGGGCCAAGTTACGGTAGTTATGGACCGTTCAGACTATATCGAAAAGATGAATAAATTACTTAGTGACAGTTCTACATACAGATTAATTAAAAAAGATCCTCTTAATTCATTGAATACAAAAATTATGACATTGATTAAGTCATGGATTGATAATAGACTTATAGATGAGCAAACGTACAAAAAGATGCACTAATGAGAATTTGCCGCGTTGTTATGGCTTACCAAAAATCCATAAAGCAGGATATCCCCTTAGAGTTATTGT